CGGTGCGCGGGGCCAGACACGTGCGCCGCCGTCGATCCGCGGGCGTGGTGCTGTGCCCGGGCAGGAGATCCGGGGAGTTCAGGCTTCCGCTCCGCTGAGGTTGGGGTTCCTGCTTCGGTCTGTGTTTCTCAGCCGGCTGCCTATATTTTCAGTTATGTTAACTTGCCCGGGCTTTTCTGTTTTTCCATGCTCATGGGATACCACCAGAGGGGAAGAGAAGACAGCTCTGTGTATGTGTAAAATTCCTTGTGTAAACTAGGGGGGAAAAAATGACTGGTTTCTTGCTGATGACAGTCACCTCTAACAGTTTTGTACAAGTCTATGAAATTACTGATGGAGGTGGGGTCACTGTGAGCAGCCTGCCCTTTCATGTAGTTGCATTGAGGGCCTGATGGGGTTTATCTCTGCTAGAGACAAGCTCGGCTCTGTTGCAGCATGTGTTTAACTTTTATGATTTAACTTAGGTTTTCTTGGTGATGTCTGTTTCCCTTTTCTCTTTCCACTAATGTTCAGGGAGTCACAGATGTCCTGTGTGAAGCTTGTGACCAGTTAGGATGGAAGATGCCAACAAAGATCCAAGTTGAGGCTATTCCAGTGGCCCTCCAAGGTAAGCAGTGTGTTTCTCTGATCCTGAATCTGGGAATGCCCCAGGAGGTCTATGTGAATGAATTTTGCTGAGTGAGAAGTAAGTGGCAGGGATGAGAGTGTTCTCACTTCTTCATCATTGAAGAACTCTGGCTAGAAGTAGTCTCTGTGGTCATTCTTGTGTCCTTCCCAGGTAGTGCTTGGAATACTAATTTCTCCTATAACACTGCCTGCAATTGCAGACTTTCAAATGGGTACAAACGTGGGTTCTTGAGTGTTCACTACTGTTGAGTAGTTCTAACACTCCATGTTAAATAGAATCATTGTCAATCATTTGAGCTGCTAGTCTACATTGACCATTTTCTTTCTAAAATACTCAAGGATACACAGGAAACTTCTGATAGGTTTAGGACTGTGCCTCTTCTGGTAGAGACCTACAGTGTGTGTTTGAAATTGGAGATGCCTTGACTGATTACATAGTTTATATAATCTGCTTTGCTGTGAGCAGGCAACTCTGAAATTAGATCTCTGGAGTGAGTAATAAGCAAACCACAGTGACTTTCTGTAAACATCCTGGAATTACGGGAAAATAAATTACTGAATTCAGCAAACAATTCTGCCCGTAGAATATTTGTTTGATATGGCGTTTGTTTTGGTTTTGTTTTTAAATACTGTGAAGCCAGAACAGAACAATGTAGTGACAGAATGGGAATAAACTTTCAGTGTCTACTCTGTTTTAGTACTTAACTGTTGTCAGACTCTCTTACTCCACACTTAAGATTCTCTTGGAAAAAAAAAAACAAAAGTAAGATTGCATTCCTGAGAAGTTGTCTCCAGTTTAAGGCCTGTTGGCAGTATGTTCTTCTCACCTGTAGTTCAGGAGGTCAGAATGGTTTCTATTGATGAAATCTAACCTGTTGCCTGCACTGTTTTTGAGTAAAGGACTTGCTGTCCTAATCCTTCCTGCTGCAAATTTGGTTTAGATTACTCTCTTAATCAATGGCACAAAATTGATTGTGGTTTGTGAAGTGTGGGTTTGGTAGTGCTGTTGTCTTGTAGTTGGTATGACCTAAGTCTCAGATGCTGGAGTCTGTTTCCTTGTAAGCCAGTAAACAGACAACAGTTGGTCTAGAATACTTAAACAGGTAGAAGTAATAGGCTGTAAATGGACAGATTTGAGAAATAATAAAGCTTTTTTCCAACCTAAAGTTTGTATGATAACCTGTATATTGGCAGAAGCATAACTATAGAATGGAAAGGATTGAGACTGTAATTATTGTACAAATGAAGTCACACTCTAAAAATGCTGCAGAGATGTTCTGAAATATTTTGTTTTGGCCCTTTGTTCTTATTTATCCTTTGTGTGTCTCCTTTTTTTCCTGTTTTTAAGGAATTCTTGCGCTTTATTGCACAGTGCTTTAAAGACCTCTTTTTCTGGTCTAGGTTTGTAACAGTTTTTGCCCTCCTTCCTGCTCCTTGTAGGCAGAGATATCATTGGACTAGCAGAAACTGGCTCTGGAAAAACAGGAGCCTTTGCTTTGCCAATTCTTCAAGCACTGCTGGAAACACCTCAGCGATTATTTGCTCTTGTCCTCACACCAACGAGGGAGCTAGCCTTCCAAATATCAGAGCAGTTTGAAGCTCTTGGATCTTCCATTGGTGTCCACAGTAGTAAGTAGCTTTGTGATGTTGGAGCTGTTTTCCTGAAGACTGAAATCTAGCTCTAGATTGCAATGAAAAAAGTACAGAGTATTTGTATGGGGGGTTGAACAAAAGAGAAAAGCTTGCGATGCTGGAAGACAGAGATCTGGTATCAGGTTTGGGAAAGAAAGACTCTGGGGTCTTTTCTCATGGAACAGTCTGCAGCTCTTCTGTATTTTATGTCCAAACAGTTACAGGTGGAAGTAGAAGACTATCTTCTCAATAGTAAGTTTGCATCCAGTGAAACTACATAGAGTTCCACTCTGTAGTGTGATGTAGTTTAATCTTTCCTTCAGATTTTCTGTATTGGTTCTTTAGGTATTCTCTACAAATGTAAAAGCTTTGTGGGTAATTTTAGAACTCCTAGATTTTTTGCAGCTGAGTTAAGCTGCAAAAAACAGATGCTGTCTGTAGCTCTTCAACTCTGAAAATAAAATACCCTGGGCCAGTAAGGACTTAATGGTACGGCTTAAGCAGCCTGTGAAGCTCAGGTGTGCTAAAATAAAGTGAATTCTTGTAAAGATAAGTAGACTTTCATTTGTACAGATTTGTTGTGGGTGGCAGGGACTAGGAGGAAACACTTGGTGCGAGGAGCTGGCTGGTACTACACTGAGAGGTTGACTATATTCTGTTTGTCCTGCAGCGGTTATTGTGGGTGGAATCGACACGATGTCTCAATCTCTGGCCTTAGCCAAGAAACCACATGTTATAATTGGTAAGTTAAAATGCTGGGGGCATGGGGTATGAATATCATCAAACTGAGCTGTCCAAAGAAAGAGTGCCAAAAGTTTTTGTGCATTTGAAGGAGAAGTGAGAGTACATCCTTAATTTGTTTTTGTCCTGAGGCCTGAGTATTGGCTTGTTAATGTTTCTAAAGTATACACCAGTAGCCTTGCTGCTACAAACTCATTCCAAAGCATTCCTTTAAGTATTCAAAATGCTGGTCTCATCCTTCTCAGTATAGCTTGTCTACACTCTGTTTTGTTTTGCCTTTTTTTTTTTTCTAGGTGAGAGGAGGAAGGAGGGCATTCTTCAGACAGTCTGATTCCATTAGTCTTATTTCAAAACGCTCTGAAGATATCCTATGAAAGAGTCTTTCCCACAAAGCAATCTGTCTTTATTTCTTTTGGGCAAAGAATCTCATTTCTGTAACGGATGGCTCTCTTGCTTCTTTGGAGTTTTTTCCTTTGCTTTCATTTAAATTTGCTCTCGTAATTTTGTTGATAGCAACCCCTGGCCGTCTAGTTGATCATCTGGAGAATACAAAGGGCTTCAACTTAAGAGCTCTGAAGTTCTTAGTGATGGATGAGGCTGACCGGATCCTTAACATGGATTTTGAGACAGAGGTAAGAATCTGCTGAAAGAAGAGTTTGGAACACCAGATAAGTCCCTTTAAAATCACTTCATACAGTCACATAGTAAACACTGAGCTGATCTGTAGAAATTAAAAGCAAATTGTAAGCAAGATCTAATAACTGCACAAAAGTCTATGGTGGGAGTAGAACTTAGCAGAGTTCTGCAAAGCACTAGCAAGACAGTAGGAGGCATTTTGTGTCTGAAATCTACTGCTTTCTCTGAAGTTGATTTGATGCAGTTACTGTAGAAAATGATCACACACACATTCCTGCAGGAATATTGCCTGATACTTGCACTGCTATTGGACTTCTGGAGTTCACACTGCCTAATTGTCAACAAGCTATCAGTCTGCACCTTCCCTTTAGATGAGGGGATTTTTGTTTCTGCTGTGAGTCTAAGTTGCACACGTGCATTACTCTTCATTTGGATGATCATTATATTTGGAGGAAGCTTGTGTCTTGATTGCTGTTGTATTCAGCATTTCCATTTCCTTTCTACTTTTACAGGTGGATAAGATATTGAAAGTGATTCCTCGAGACAGGAAGACATTCCTGTTTTCTGCTACCATGACCAAGAAGGTGAGAGCAGAGTACTCTGCTTTAGTTCTCCTTCCATTAGGCTATACTGTTGACTAGATTGTATCATACAGGTTTCTGACAAGATCTCTGTGCATCTAGTACTAACTTACATTCATCTTCCCAGGTTCAAAAACTCCAGCGTGCTGCTCTGAAGAATCCTGTTAAATGTGCTGTTTCTTCCAAATATCAAACAGTTGAAAAACTACAGCAGTACTACATTTTCATCCCCTCCAAATTCAAGGTAATGCCACTTCTGTTTCTTCCCTTTTCTGATTGTGTCTTGTCTTGATGTTCCTAAATCTGCCCGATATCTTGTCATCTTCTCTGGCTTATACTTACTCTTTAATTTGGCGTATGTGATTATCTCTTTTCTCTTTTTCTGTCTGTTTCTTTACAGGACAGCTACCTGGTTTATATCTTGAATGAGCTAGCTGGAAACTCTTTCATGATATTCTGTAGTACGTGTAACAATACTCAGAGGACTGCTCTACTGCTCCGCAACCTGGGCTTCACTGCCATTCCTCTCCATGGGCAGATGAGTCAGGTATGGGCATACCCCACAGAATGGAGTAGAGAGAGAGACCTGTCGCTTGGGAAATGGGCTGTACCATAGTGAGTGATAATTACCTTGCAGGAGGAGTATTTTGCAGCTAGTGGACTGGACTGATCGCTGGAAATTTAACTGATGTGAATGCTGCCATTTATTCTGCAATAGTTCAGAAAGAAATTAGAGAAGAGAGATTTTTAAGTAGTTTTTCCCCCAGTTCTTCTGTACCAGTATTTCAACAAGAGCATATTAGCCAGAATGAGCATTATTCACTCATTCCTTTTTTGTCCTCCCCTCTTCCAGAATAAACGCTTGGGCTCTCTAAACAAGTTCAAGGCAAAGGCACGTTCTATTCTACTGGCTACTGATGTTGCAAGCAGAGGTCTGGACATCCCACATGTAGATGTGGTGATAAACTTTGATATTCCTACGCACTCTAAGGTAAGCTAGTCTGTGTGGCAGCTGAGAGCTTCTGGTCACCGGAGGCATAGTGAAGCTAGACGAAGGAACAAAGACACCTTTTCTCTCTTCTGCTGGCTGCAACTGTAGTTCACCCTGCTGTAGATTAAAAGATGTAGTTCAGCCTCTGCAGTTGAGTTGGTATCTCAGTTTGGTTGGGTGGCTTCATCTGGATTGTAGAACTGATCCTATAAGTGAAGAGGGGAAGTGAGGGACGTTATGTGTCTGCATTTCTACTCAGAGTATGTGTTTTTCCATATTACATTAAAGGGCTTCTAGACTTTGAAAATAGTTTTAACATATTACTGGTTTCACGTAGTCTGTTCCTGTGATCCAAGTCTGCCTTCACGTTTTAAACTGTGTTTAAAAAAAAAAAAAGTAAAAATTCTCCCATTTATGTTTCACCTTCATATCACCTTTCATTTCAGCAAACTGAAAAAAGTGAGTTACTAACTTTCTACCTTATAGAAAGTATGGTATGATCTTTGGGGTGTGACACTGTTTCCCAGCCTAGTTTCAGAAAGCTTACCGTTAACATACGTTTCAGGAATTGTTACTGTTTCTTATAATGATCAAAGGTACTACACATTGCAAACAGAAGGCAGTATGGGGGTTCTTTTGAAGACACTGCTTTTGACATTGTAAAAGGATAAAAGTTAAAAAAAAAATAATGGTGTGGGCAACAGCTTGAATGATGTTACAGATTTTGTGCCCCCCCCGCCCCCATCTAACCATGTCAGAGAACACATCCTTTCTCATGATGCTTCCTTTCTCCACAGATCCTGCAGGGAGAAGAAGGGAGTATTTTAATTTCCACAATGCAGAATAAAACCTGGGAGACAGCCTATGACCATATAAACAGAAGTCTTGCTCAATAGATCAGAAGCTTCCAAATTGTTCTCATTCATCCTCCCTTTCACTATGTTTGCCAAACTTAAATCTACTTGCCAGAGAGTTTGTCTGGAAGACATACTATGTAGAACAATAGATCCCAAGACTGAAAATGCAGGCATTGGCTCACTTTAAACATTAGCTTTCCAAGGAAGTGATAGTTGATTAGCAAAGTCATGTATCACAACTTCTGTCCTGCAGTCTTGAATAATTGGAGGTGGTCTTTTCCTTCAGAAAGAAAAGAATTCAAATCTTAAAACAAAAGATATGCCTCCACAAGCCAGTATCTTCTCAAATCCTAATCCTAACGCAGTCTCAATTATTTAATCTTGGCTGTATTTTCTCCCCGTTTTCATGTTCTATCCTAAAGAAAAATTATATGGGCTGATTTCCCACAACTTCTGTTCTGTGTTTGGTGTACATATCCTATTGCTTATCAAGAAAATTGTTTGCAGGATTACATTCATCGTGTTGGGAGAACAGCTCGAGCTGGGAGATCTGGCAAATCTATCACCTTTGTCACACAGTAAGTGTTAAAATGTGGCAGACTTATTCTTCCCAGCTGTGTTTCAGAACAGAAAACATTTGACCTCATCCTGGGTGAGAAGAAAACACTACTTTTCATTCTGAGGTGCCAGTTAGATTTATTTAGTTTAAGGGCAGAGAATTCAAAGCCCAGGGTGAGGAGGGATAAAGAAAAGATTCTAGAAGCAGGTGTGTAATGAGCAGAACTGTTTCTAACTTGGTTGTATAATATATGTATATTTTTATGATATATAATGCAGGTTAGGTAAGTGTGGGTTTTTTGATAAATACTGAAGTATTTGGCTAAAAAAAGTCTTTACCAAATACTTGTGAACAGAGATGAACTGAACAAATCAGTGAAGCCATTCTGAACGATGGCATCATTCAGATGCAATTAAGAGTTGTTTGTGAGACCATCAGCACAAGCTAACAGTGTCTGTGAGATGGAGATAAGGGGTGATGTCTGTGGGTGGTGACAGCTAAAGCACTCTCAGGAAGGCCGATTCAAGCTAGTGTCTTGTCTTTTCTCAGGTATGATGTAGAGCTGTTCCAGCGCATTGAACACCTGATTGGCAAGAAGCTGCCAGCGTTTCCAATGCAAGAGGAAGAAGTTATGATGCTGACAGAGCGTGTGGCTGAGGCTCAGAGATTTGCTCGAATGGTGGGTGTTGCCTTTTTGTCCCTCAACTCGCTGTTATAGTCTGAATTTCCTCGGGTGCCAGAACTCTTGGTCAATCTCTTGATTACATTGCAGGAGCTGCGGGAGCAGGGAGAGAAGAAGCGATCTCGGCATGATAATGATGATGACACAGAAGAAGCTATTGGTGTCAGGAATAAGGTGGCTGGTGGGAAAAAGAAGAGGAGGAAAGCCTTCTAGTTCAGCATTTGGACAGACTTTTTAATTTTCCTCTTTATGGCTACATGAGCTTGGCAGAAATGGTCTACCAAGCTGTCTCCAGTGCATATTTTTTTTCAGAAGTACTTACTATGAAATTGGGTGGCCCACCTGGGAAACAACTTCTCTTCTTTACCAGTTACAGACTGAGTTTGGCCCGTTGTGGTACCATGGGAGCAGTCTTTCTTTCAGAGACACCAGGCCATCACCTCTGGATCTGAAAGCAGCTGTGGTCTGGCCCTGCTCATTCACAAAGAGGTGCAGTGTGGGTGCAGCTTTCCCTGCTGCTGCAGCCTGTCTAACTACCGAAACTCACCGAGTGCATCTGGGGTCAGATAAGTCTGCCGGAAGAAAGAGAGGAAAAAGTTAAAAGAAGTAACTGAGTTTCCACAGCACAGCTGTGATGCCCTTGCCTTAGTAAAGGAACATATGACATGGAGGACTCAAAATATATTTTGCTTAACTTTAAAGATACCTGGTGTTCTTTGTCTTAGCACTGACCTTGTTGTGCTCATTTTGAGTATCGGCTCTGCCCAGATTTTCTTCTTAGGTCAATCTTAGCAATTCGGATGTGACATCAATACCTTGGATGTGTCAGTTGAAGAGTGGCCCAGCACAGAGAGAACCTGTTTAGGCAGGATTAGATTATTCACTGCCTGGAATTTGATCCAGAATTTGTAGTGATGGGCAAAATCAAGGAGAGGTCTGGGGTTTGGGTGGGTTGTGGGTTTTATTTTTGTGGCAGATTCTTGTAGTACTTCGGAAACAACACAAGAGGGTGGTATTTACATAGGAAAGCAGCACACTAGCTGTGTGGTGAAGAAAAGCAGGTATCAGAGGCTCTTTCTGTGTTTCTCTACTCTGTTTTAATGTCTTAGGCAGGGTTTGGTGCTGTATAAGTAGACGTTTGCAAGAGTGGGATAAATGTACTCATCTTTATATCAAACTAGGTAGTGCTAGTTCCCATTGTCAATAAAAACTTTCACACTGGGCATTTCTGCTGCTGGGCCGAGAAGGGTGAGAAGCTCCTTCATGATTGCTTAACATGAAAATTTGATGTCCATTAGAACACTCATAAACTGGATTTTCTGCTACATGAAAATCAGTGTTCAAAAGATTCTTTTTTAGATCTAAATGGCAAGCAGAAACTACTGCAGTAATCAAGATGACACTATGAAGTAACTGTTGTGCTCAACATAAATTGATATACACATGGATACTAGTCAGAATGCTTTTATACTTTGAGGCAATACAATTTGCAAAATTGCAAAAAGCACAGCATGGTTAAAACTAGGAGTGTGTTGTTTTTATCTAAAACAGCTGTGTTATCTTCATGAGGAGAAAACATACTCTGGTGTGAGAAGAGTGCCAGTGTTCTTTTGTCTTTTTTTTGGTAGCAATTTACTCAAATCTCCCCAATACTCACCTTCAAGTCTGATAGCTCTAAAGCAGTCTACGATCAATTGGTAGATAAGTAAGGGTACAGATCTTGGGTATGTTGACTGCTAAGAGCATTCTTACATAGCAGGAAGAGAGTGTGCGTCTTCCATGGGTTGTAGTGCAGAGGGGCAGTGGTGGAAGCTCAATAATGAGAACATGTTAATTCTGTGGGGCCTTTTGGTAGGGATCCGCACAGGTAAAAGGAAACAGCCTTAGAATGCATCAGAGAGAGGAATAAAATGAGTGAGTATATGGATGGAGATGCTCCATGGGGAACAAGTATTTGCAAGGGAACTTTCCTGACTTGTCTTCTTTCCTGCTGGATGCTTGAACAAAATTTCTTACCATTCACAGGCAGGACAGGGTTGGTCCTGCTATCAGCAAATGAAGATTAAATCCCTCTGAGGCTCCTGGGTCTCTGGAAAATCTCTTGGTGTTATAACCAGCTATGTAACAGGTGGCATGCAGAATCAGTCCTGAACCAGTCCTGTAAAATGATGTGAAGGGCAGTTTTACTGCTGGAGGACGTAGGGCAGGGTCATTCCTTTCAGAAGTAGTTTGAGGCTTTCTTTAATAGTTTGGTGGAGTCTCTAGCATCTCTCTGTGTTCTTTCCTGTGTGGAAGGCTGCAACAGCAGAGGGGATTTGCCTTGCCCCTCAATGGGATCAAACATTCTCTGTCCTTCCTCTGCAGTTGCAAGAATAACAGAGGAGAGAAGTAGAGCTGTAAAAAGGTGCAGAGCCTCTTTGAGAAGAGTGACTCCTAGACAGCTGGCTGCCTCCCTTGATTTGGAATGACAAGCTGTAGAAACACTTGGCACTAGAAAAGCAAAGGTCTCACCCCACCCACATTCTCACTGGTGCCTCACCTGGCACAGGTATGCACATTCAATTTCAACTAAAAATATCTCAGTGGGTTGGAGGGGCAGGAAATAGTTTCTCGTTGTGACTATGCCACGAGGGCTAGGTCAGACTAGTGTTTGTGTAACTGAAGTGGAATAGGGAGTGTCTAAAGATGTATTTGGTCAAAACAGAACTTCGAGCGAGGCTAAACCAAAATCTGTAGCTGATCTAATGAAACATGAGGGGAGAAGAATGGACAGAGGCCTGTCTCTGGATAAAAGGCAGTTCAGAAAATAGAAGCACTGGTATGTGTGTGGCTGCATACTTTTGTACAACAACTGATGCCGATGTGTGTTCAGTCAGGAGGACTCTTGAGGGGCAGCTCTGAAGCAGTCCTCTCTGGAGTCTTTGCACAGCAGGGAGCTGAAGTGGGGGATTAACCTTAGTGTGACCTAAGATAGGATCAGGCTAACACAACCTGTCATTTTTTTGTGGTTGAAAACTCAAGTGAAGTTGCAGCAAAAGCTGCATACTGAAAGATTTCAGCGGGGATGTCTGCAGTTTGAAACAATTCTGCACTTCCCAAGTCCATAATGAGAAGGTGATTGTTTATATACTTGTAATACATACTTTAAATAATATTTTATAGTTTTGATTTTTAATACTGCATCGGTAACTACCTCAGGCAGCAAAGAATGGGGCTGTAGTGTCTTTCATTTAAATGTTCTAGAGCTAGCAGAAGCGGGACAATTCTTTGGAGGGGAGGAGTAAAATTAAACACTGATGTCAGTGTGGATAACTGTCTTCAAGATAAATGAGGATAGCTGCAAAAGGTAGCAATCCCTGCAACCATAATGTGTTCCAGAGCTGAAGCTGTGCTGAACTGACCTGTCTGAAATGGATTTGGCAGTTTCAATTCCCCAGTGCCATGCACCTGCTGCCCAGGGGCTGCAAGGGAAGACATGGGCAGGAAAGCACAGATGGGAGCCAAGGTGGGGAATCCAGCGCTTCTTTCTGTGGTGGCAGCCTGAGCCTAAGTCTACTTGAAATAACGATGAGGAAGACTGCCTCTTCAAGGACCTGGCAGCCCACCTTCCCCTCCACCTGCCCCCCCCTCAAAAAGTAGAGATGACTAAGAAGGAGAGCTAAGTATGATGACTTTCTAGTAACATCTTTAACTTGTGCTAAGAGGATCAGTTTAGGAGAGAACTCTCAGACTAAGAAGTGACTGGGAATCTGGAGGACCTTAGTTTACAAAGCAGGACTGAAATTAGTAAACGTTCCCAGTCTAGCCAAGCACTGCAGAAGGAAAATATCCCACATACTTAAAAGCCCTTGGAAGTACTTAAGAAGGAATGGAACTGATTGAATGACCTGTGAAAGACACAGGCACGTACCAACTATTTTGCTGTTGTATAAACGTGAAGTTGTGGTTTGCCTGCAATGGCATGTGGAGAGCTTCTGTAAACGTTCATGCGAGCAATTAATTCTTGTAAATGTTGCAGAGCAAATGCTGTAAAAATCTAGCTTTGGTGCCAGAGATAGTCCATGTAGTCATTGCTTATGCACTTACCAGTAGATTTTTTTTTTTTTTTTCTTTCTGGGGAAAGCCACTTTCTTAGTCTTTGGATAGGTTTTTTCCTGGTCAGACTACGGAAGCTCCTTGAGAATAACAATATTTAAAAGGGAGAGCTAAAGATGTTTTGTTCCTCTGGCACCTAAGGAGTGGCAATGGTCACTTGCTCTCTGGCCCAGGAATGAATGCAGCCCTGCCTCCAGTGCTGTATCTCTTCTTGAGGATCCTTCAGATATGGAAATATGATGATGATGATGGCATTTTCTTTCTTTTCCTGCTCATTGCAGAGAGGGATGGACTACATGACCTTTAAAGATCCCTTCCAACACAAACTGTTCTAGGTTTCTAGGATTCTCTGCTTCCAAAGCCCCTCTTGGATGCCAGCAGGAGCCTTCCTGAACATGACAATCAAGTATAGGTTATGTTTCATGGTAGGATGTGTATTGGACTGTGCCATAGTCATGCCTAATTGTGCAATAGGAGACAGTGGCACTGTTCAGTCTTCAGCTGTTGATATTGTAGGTGTTCAGGGAGGGGTGGATGCCCTTGGAGCTTGTTCAGCACTTTTTCAGGGAAGCATCTAGAAGCCTGAAGCTGTGTTTACTAGAGGTTAACAAAGGGTAATTTTGTGCATCCAAAGGGAAGAGGACTATTTTAATCTGCCCTCTCTGCTGGAGTATCCTTATCGTTGCAGAGATGTACATGCTGCTCTGTTGCTTCTTCTTAAAATAAAGTCTAGAGATAGGACTCTCAAAAGTTTCTGTCTTCCCTTGGGCTTGGTGCTTGCTAAAGGTTCCTGAGGAAGTGGAAATGCAGTGTGGGCTTTCTATGCAAAAAGGGAGAAATGTTTTGTCTTCCATTCAAATCCTAGCAAGGGCAGAAAAAGAACCATGTTGACAGGCCTCTCACAGAGACTATTCCTTCTGTCCATCACTTTCTCCTCCCTATTTAACATTGTCAAGGAAGGCAGGTTTTTGGCACATGTTTTCCATTTGGACTGATTTAAGTCTCCTTTAATCCGCCACAAAACAATTCTCTGTATAAAGGAAGGCAAATAGAAAAACTTGCTCTGCAAGTCATCTGTGTGAGGTAGAGGGAGGGTTGCAGGGTAAGGTTGAATTGCTTTGGTTATGCCAGCTTTCCAGAAGAAAATGATTCCTTTGTGTAGTTTTTGTTGTAAGTCTCCTCCATCCCATGAACAGGGCTGAACTATGAAAATTCTTGGGTTTGATGTAGGAAAGTCTTTTGCACAATGAGGGTTGTAGTCACAAAAGTACCTTCTTTCCTGCAGTAGCAATGTAAGGGGGCACAGGACCCATGGAGCAAGCCTGGGAGAGAACGTGTGGAGGCTTGTTCAATTTAATTTAAAGCCACAGAAATTAAGGTACCCCAGTCAAGCATGTAATTGAATATACTTGGTCTTCTACTGTCTTTATTGTAGCTCAGTTGAAGGGAATTTATAACAGGAGATACCCAGCCTGAACTGTCCTTGCCAGCTTCTGTGTTTGATATATTATCAGCAGGGAAGTAATACTTCCTCTCCCTCAATACGTATTCAGAA